TTTATGTTTTATAGTTATACTTGTATTATGAGAACATATTGTGCCATATCTAAAATTAAACTCAATAATTATAGCATAAACTCCTACTCTGTGTGACTCACAGCCAATCGAATCCCCTCTAAAGAATTAAATGTCCCTTTATTGCTATGAAACAGCCAGCTGACACACTGAAGTGATGATTGTATGTCTGTTTACATGATGCTGATTGTTCACGTGGAAATGGTTAATTCACACTTGTGCTGTATTTAAAAATTACTCTGGATGAGTACACATTTATGTCTGCAGAGCTGATGAAGAGCTTGATGAATGATCCTTTTAGAATGCAGTTTGTGTCATGAATGGAAGTACAGGCACCTGTGACGAGAATGACAAGAGAATGAACATTGTAGCACAAGCACACCACTGTAGCTTCATATATAGCACCTTTGATATTATAGGAGATCCCACTTTCCCTTTTCTTGCCCTTATGTCACAGAGATGTTTGGTCTTAACAAGATCAGTCCAGCGTGATCAGCAGAAGCCGCTCAGTTGATCATGACAGAAAGAAGTGCTGAAATTGAAAATGTTAGCTGAAAGAACAGCAACTCGGATGGCTGCTGCTGTCGAGGAAGTTGATGGTAACAAACCGCTGTCACGCCAGTTGAAGCAGAAATGCAAGCTGTAATGGTACTAAAAGGCGAGCAAGTTATAAGCCTTAAGGCCTCGCTTGACACTGTTGTCACTCCCTGAATCTCCCAAAGTGGCCACTGATTGACAGAATGTCTGTATTGAACTGGCCCAGACTGACAGCATGAATACCCCTTTTGTTTTACTGCAAAGAGAACCAGCCCACATTTCAATGTAACTTAATTAAAGTTTACTAGTTTTTTAATATAAACAAATACAATTAGCAGATAACACGATATTTGTGAATAAAATATTGAATATCAGACTGACTGGGAAAGAAGTTTGTTCCAGTTTGTCATAACAGGAGTTGTTTAGTTTTGTTGCCTCATCGTTGATGTTTTGAGGTCATTATCACTGATGGTATTGGTTCCTGGTTTGAGGCCTGTGGGTTTAATGGACCAATTCAAAACCAGTTTTTGCTAAGAACCTTTATTTGGTGAAAATATGCCAGTGTACCCTTTCAGGATTTTGTGCAAGATCCTATCACACCACAGAAACCTGTTCCACTAGTGTGTTATAAAGATGTCTTGTTCTAGAGAATTAAAGAGCTTTTCTCAAACAGTTAGCATTATGCTAAGCTAGTAGATGTTAGATTGCTAACCAAAGGCCAACTGAAAACAAAACATAAATGTTTAATCCCAACATTCTTAGATTACGTAATCTAATTTAATATGTGATATGTAATGTAAAACACATTAATATACCCTACCATTTTAAAGTTTGGGATAAAAAAAACAAACAAACATTTTTTTAAATATTTTTGAAAGAAGTGTCTTGTGCTCACCAAGGCTGCAATATACAATATAGAATATACAATTGCAAATACAACAAACATAGTAATACTGTGAAATATTATTACAATTTAAAATAAATTTTTTATTGTAATATATTTTGAAATGTAATGTATGCCATCACTCCGTCTTCAGTGTTGTGCTTGACCCTTCAGAAATAATTCTATAATTTTAATTCAGTGCTCAATAAACATTTCTTATTATAATTAATTAAAACTATTGTGATGCTTAATATTTTTGTGGAAACTGTGATTTGTTTTTCATGATTATTTGATTAACAGAGAGTTTAAAAGTACAGCATTTATTTGAAATGGAGATTTGTTTAACATTATAAATGTATTTACTGTCACTTTTGATTAAAGTAATGCCTCCTTGCTGAAGAAAAGTTTATACCTTAAAAAAAAAATTTAAAAAAATTGATAATAATAATAATAATAAAAGGTAGTGTATTTTCATGGTAAAGAATAAATTCATTATAAAGCAATTTTCTATAGTTTCTAATCCAGGCAAGAGCACATAAAAAATTTGGGGGGACAGTATTGGCATAGGCTTTTGTCCCATCAATGGCTATCCAATGGCTATAATGCATTTGAATGTTTTATATTTGATATGTTTCATATCATATATCATATATATATATATATATATATATATATATATATGATATATGATATGTTTCATATCATATATATATATTGCTGCAGGTGTTCATTGTTCTCTCTTTAAACTCCTGTTTGACAGCAGTGCCACGGTCTAGTTTCAGAAAGAATAACATGAGGTTAACAGAGTCCACCTTTCAAGCTCAAGCTTTTAGTTTACCTGAAATGGTGCAGGAACAGGACTTGAAGTCCCCATCTTCTGGCAGTGCTTTCACATGCAGTAATTATAATGCTCGATGTGCTAATTCTGAAACAATGCTTTTAGAGCCAACCATGAAATTAACTTCTCTAGTATCTGACTCATTAGTGTTGCCCAAGAACACAATGTACTCTCGAGAGATAAAATGAATAGGTTAAAAGGAGATAGGTCAACAAAATAAAAAGGTAGAATAGTTGGAAAAAAAGACCACTTTTCGAATTTTATTGCTCAAAAAAAAATGCTGTCTTTCACTTCCAACAACGTCCAGTCTCTTTAGAAATATGAACAATGTGGACTGAAGTTTGACGTCATTTGACGTCGGTACTGTAGTCTCTTGGTTGCTGAGAACATGACGGGAAGGGAAGATGGAAAAAAAATATGTAAAGAAAGAGAGAATATGGCATTTGGGAGCAGAGAGGTAGATAGAGAGAAAGGAAGATGGAAAATAGCCGTGGGGCTCCTCTTTGTGCAACCCAAATTGAAGAGAGAAACTGCTTTTGAGAGATACTTAAATCCACAATCTGCCACATCTGAGTGTTTACATACGTTTAGCAGAATACAGAGACGTGGGAGTAAACTGGTTTAGTTATCTCTAAAGCTAAATTGATTCATATTTGTTTTAACATTTTGACTCATATTCTTCCATTCTCTACAGGCAGAAGAGTGTTCGTTCAAAAAAGCAAGAACATATAAATCTAACTAATTCATGCTTCACAATGTAAAGCACAAACACGCTACATGCAATGAAACTCCCAGTTCCTTTTGTATTAATGCTGAACCTGCTAAAGACTGAATGTGTGTCTGTACACACATGGGGCATTTATCAGATGCCTGTTATAAAGAATTTTGATGAGAAAAGAACTAAACAAATATGCTGAAATATAAGATGAAAAAGAGTGTAAATCATTGGGATCGGTAAGGTTTTTTTTTTTTTTTGGACAGTTCCAATTTCAAATAAATCCTGAAAAAATTTATTAGTTCACATAAAAATATTAAGCAGCACAACTGTTTTCAGCATTGATCCAGTTTCCATGAACTCAGTATGGTTTACAGTGAAAAATAATCAGAGAAAACAATCCTCCATAATATAAATCTGCTGTTAAACAATTACATATTTGCATGAACATGACAAACTCTCTTTTTCTCTGTCCCTCAGGATGGCATGGGAACTCTCCGCGTAACCAAAGATGGCATCAGATTAGAGGGAGTGTCTGAGTTCCTCCTTCCACTTTATGTGAAAGAGATCAACTCCAGAAGGGTAAGAAGTTCTCATTTTCTAAACCTATGCAATGGGCAGGCACCAACCGATGGCACAGAAATAATGGTGTAAAGAACTGCTGTTTGGTTAAATGCAGCCAGTTATTTTTGCGTCTCATTTGTTGTTTGTCAAGCTATAAATGATAAAAATTAAGGACATTTATACTACTGTACTACTCTCCATCAAATGCCAGCACACCCAGCATGCTGTCAGGAAGTGTAAATTGGCATGGTTTCAGACCATGGTCTGTCATCATCACAGGTACCAGATGTAATGCTGGAGTGAGTGTGCTGGGGATTCTAGCTTGAACTCTTGATATATGCGACAGGGCTGAGTGTAGATCACTAAGATGAATAGAGCAAGCACACAGGCACATATTCTTTGTCAAGCACAAATGCAGAGAAGTACACAGGGTCAGGTGCTTCCCTAAACTCCCACTGTACACATGCTTCATGTTCCGGTTCATTTGTATTCGGCCTCTGTTGACCTTTAGCATCCATCCGTCCATCCATCATTCTGTGGAGGGAGATTGCAATATTACTTTTATGTTGTGTATATATATGATTAATCTCATGTTTATAGGATGCATTTGAGTTAATTAACCTGCTAGCAGCACTTCAGTTTGCAGATGTTCATTCACTGTTCTGCTTCAGCTCATGCAGCTCAAGCAGGTCAATCCCTGACATTACTGACTATGATTGATATATCTAGAACAATCATATTGTTTTTAGATTTTTCTTCTTCAGTGTTGTACATTGTTAATATTCTGCACTTTTACGTTTTTCCCATCATGTATTCGTCAACGGTATGTTGTAACTTACATCTTCGTAACTGACAAAGAAGACCTGTTTTAGCAAACATATTTAAAACACTAACAGCAAATCTGTTTTTCAGCAATCCTGCTGCTTTGGATTATTAGGTAGTCTAACAGTATCCAAAACATGGTAAAACATCTATGCTAGTCCTTTCAGCACTATTGGTAATTGGAGCACTAGTGAAACTCAACTTAATAGAGGTGTAGCAGTCTCTATACTTTAGTCTATACGGATACACTGTGCAGAAACAATGGCCGCTACGCCTGCTTGGAGTGAACATTAATTAATAATGATAAACCCCTTTACCACTGTTCAGATACACTTATAAAGAAGCCTTGTCCTTGAGCCAATAAATTAAAGTGCCTAATGTGTTAGCCACAGTGATTAGCATTAAAGAACACAAACAAAGCAGTGGCTTGCTGCTAGCTTGCTGATGGCACTCCTGATTAGCCTCAATAATCACCAACGCACATCAAAGCCTGTCAAGGGGGCTTTTGCATTTCCCCTCAGCACCCCACCAAGATGACAGCACAGCAAATCCCAACACACTCTCACAGCAACACGGCGGCCATTTTGGATTGTTCGCCTCAGATGACTGTGAGGGTGTGACATTGCAAATGACAATTAATCCACCTAGTGTAGAAAGCCAGAAGATTGGGGTCGGGGGGACGAGACATGGTGGTCTTGGTCTGGGAGGAGAGCCTTGAGCTGTAAAGCTGAATACTGCAGACAAGCTGTTTTGGCGTCTCCTACAAAGAGGGATTGTACCATGGCTTGGATTCATACCCTGCTTCTGTAGGGCCACCAATGATGTGTGACACGGGCACTCATGAAAGAGAGACCAAAAAGGAAACATATGAAAGGAAAGGTGCTAGAGAAGGATGAATAAAGAGGCAGAACATAAGGGGCAGCAGGTGAAGTGACAGTGTAGCCACCAAGCTTGACAAGTAAAAAAAGACCTGAAACCTGAAAGTTACAACTCTAAATCCAGCAAAAAAGGAAAGGGATTTTAAAAATAGCAATTAAAAACAATGGCACTTTACTAAAAATGGGTGATAGCTTGAAAATGCTCTTATCTACCAAGCAAACAGATTTTTTTTTTTTCATTGTTGGCTGACAAATAACCCGAATAATCATTTAAATTGGAATCGGACTTCAAATAGCTGCCTGCTGCGATTCAGATTTGTATTTTTCTTGACCCTGTGTTGAGGAAATAGGAAGACTGACATATTAACAATAATATGCTTCACTTTATATTATAGTACACACACGTAGGGTAATATCTTATGCTATTGTTCAAGGGTCTCAAAATGTCTTTATGATCAGATTATGATTTTTTGATGATGTCTGTTTTCTATTTAATATATTGTATAATGCAATTTATTAATGTAATGGATACATTTTCAGCAGCCATTACTCTAGTCGTCTTTGTGACATGATCCTTCAGAAATAATTCCAATATGCTGATTTGGGAACATTTATAATAATAATAATAATAATAATAATAATAATAGTAATAATAATAATAGGAAGATCAAAAGAACAGCACTTATTTGAAATAGATACCTAACATTATACTTTATTACACTCTTATACTCTACTCTAACATTATATCCTATAACATAATTTATTGTCACTTTTGATTGATTTAATGAATCTTTGGGTGAACAAATGTAATAATTTCTTTCACAGAAGAACGAAATAACTTGACTACTGACTGACCTCAAAGTTTTGAATGGTAGTGTATCTAATGCCATTTTATATTTAACCGTGTATTCCATCACTTACAGTTTCGTTTATTTAGCAAAATCAGTTTAGTTCATGAGCTGAAATTATTATGCTGATGCACGCAAAGCTGTTTCCTTGTTTTTCAACTAGATTCAGGGCAGGAAACAGGATGTACACGTACAGGATAAAGCAACATCTCTTGCCATTAGTGATAAAGTCACAGCAACTCTGCAGTGCTAATTTAAGGATGTCTTTTCAGCATATATCCCTTTGTGCTTTGGATAAAAAGCTGAGATAGTCAGGTTACAGTGGTAATGTCATTGCCTAGGACAAGCTAATTCATTAAAGGCCCGACGTATGTGTGTGTTTGCATGTTTATATGTTCATGCACACCAGGTGACTAATGACCAAGGTCTTCCGCATGTTTTATGAGTGTCTCTTTTAGGTTATAAGCATACGTCACGATAGGCATAGAAGGCAAAAGTTTATTTTTGTCTCCCTACCTTCTGTCTCTTGTGAATTTTGCATAACCATTCTCTCCCATGCTCTCTTTCATATGCATTATCTATCATTCCTTCTCTCTCTCTCGTTCTTTCTCTATAGTACTCCCTTGTGGCCTTGTTGCAAGAATGCCTGTATTGGGAGTTGCTAAAATGAGACAAAAGTTTCCCGTTGTAGGCATTATTTCCACACTCTGTATGATGTAGGAAGAACATGATGTTTTCTCTCGTTCTCCTCCCCTTAGTAAAATCTGCTTTTATTTCATCCTTAAACAAATGTTGAGACAAGAAAAAAAAAATCTAGTTGATTCTCTAGGAAATGTTGAAATGATTGTAAATCCCTCCTCAGGAGTCTAAACACAATCCACATACACATAGGGTAGAGCTGCTCACTTTTTTGCTGATCATTGGAGAATGAGAGGAATTGAAAATGCAGCAAGTGCACAACAGAGAGCTAACATATCCACTACAGTCTGCAAGTTGCAATTTCTCTCGTGCCTCAGAAAACTTATTGAACCAAAGGACATATTATTTGTTTTATATATAATTTTATATAATGTACAAGTTCTATTATCAAATAAATGTTGTCCTTTTGAACATTATATTCATTAGTGAATCCTGGGGGAAATAAATAAATTAAACAAAACAACAATAAATAAATAAATAAATAAATAAATATCCCAGATTCCACAAAAAATATTATGCAGCACAGTTTTCGATTATGATAATAATGAGAATTTCCTGAGCCCTAAATGATTTATTTGAACAGTTCATTTTAAATTATAATATTATTTCTTAATATTACTATTTTTTAATTAAATTTGATCTGATTTGATCTGATTTGAGCAGTCTGATCTGATTGCACAATTTGCATTTTTTTTATTTCTAAACTTCACACTGTATTCATTAATGTTATTTATATTACAATATATAAAAAATTATTTATCAAATATGTATCCATTATTCAGTGGAATCTGTTATTCAGCTTCAGGCAGATCCCTGCTATTAGTATTGTATCATGAGAAAAAAAATATTAATTATATAATTGTATATTGTGAGGACTTATGCAATTTGAGATTGTTAAACCTGTGCTTAAACCTGTGTGGAGTGGGGTATATGAGTGGTTATGAACGAATGAATGAAACGCATTTGTCATTGTTTCACTCCGTCTCGAATCTCGCTCGCGGAAAGCACTTGAGAAACAGTGTCTCTTCCGCGGCTCGGTACGCTTTCAACTCGTTTTTTTTAGTCTAAATCAAGACTGTACGACATTCACATTACATGATTTGACTGCTTTTTATGTAGAAAGGGCGACAGCGCACTGCATTATAAGAAATTATCATTCATGTTTTCATAACCGCTGGTCAAATTCAAAAACAAAACTAAAATTAAATCATCTTTGATAGCAAGGGGGCCCCCTGGTGTTTCGGGGGCCCTACGCAGCTTGCGTATTTTGTGTATAGGGAAGATTGGCTCTGGGTACGAGAACAAAAAAGTAGCTTGATATCATACAGACGTTGAAACAGGGCAATTCAAGAGTCACACCTTTAGTGAATAGAAGTCATCCATCCCAAACATTGAATGTATCTGCAATCATAGAGCAAGGGATTCACAAGTATTGGCCAGTGTAATATTTTATTCAGGGGGGTTGGGAGTGTGCTGGAATGGCCCATGTAAAAATAGGTTCCCATTAACATTTAACAACATTTCAGGATGATAAAACATGGGGACTGTTCAGACCTTCAGGAACTGCGAATGACGGAGAATATTAATTATTCTCGCTGCACTCTCTCTCAGATGCACAACAATTCTCAAAAGCCTCGTAGGTACAGGTTACCTCTGCAATTACCTCTCATCTCCTAGCAATGTCATCCCACCTCTCTTTTTGATTGGCTCAATGAACAAGTCTCACATGCTGTGTGACTGGACAACTCCACGTTTATACCTCTCCTGAGCT